GGAACTGATGCAGCAGAGCAGCAGCTAGGGACCGAAGAGGCATTGCTGATTCTACCTCATGGCTATGACCCGGATGAGGAGGATGAGCCTGCGTATTGTTTTCTTGCCCCTGCACCAGAGGAACCAGCTAGCATGGAGGAGGCATTAGCTGGACCAGATAGGGACAAGTGGCTGGCTTCTAGGGATGCTGAGTACCAGAGTCTGCTGGAGAATAGGACATGGGATCTGGTGGTGCTGCCTGATGGGAAGAAAGCGATACAATGCAAGTGGGTGCTGAGGATCAAGACCGATGACAAGGGGCAGGTCACCATCTACAAGAGTAGGCTGGTGGCGAAGGGGTTTATGCAGAAGGAGAAGCAGGACTTCAACGAGATCTTTGCTCCCACTGCCAAACCCCCTACCCTCCGTGTCTTGTTGGCAGATGCAGCTGTTAGTGGGAAATTCATCATTCAGATGGATATTTCAACGGCATTCCTGAATGGGATTTTAGAGGAGGATGTGTACATGACGCAGCCGCCTGGGTATGAGGATGGTACGGGCAGGGTGTGCAAGCTCAACAAGTCCATCTACGGCTTGAAGCAGGCGCCACGCTGCTGGTACCAGAAGTTGGCAGCTGTTTTAGAGGAGATGGGATTCAGGACCAGCAGCTGTGATGAGAGCCTCTTTCTCAAGGGCGAGGGGGAGAAGCTGGTGCTGTTTCTGGTCTATGTGGACGACATTCTTCTCTTCAGCAGCAGCATGAAGGAGATCCAGAAAGTGCAGCAGCAACTGATGGAAAACTTCAAGTGCAAGAACCTTGGGGAGGTAAAGTACTACCTCGGGATGCACGTGGAGAGGGATCCAGATCACATGTGGTTGAAGCTGCACCAGGAGAAGTTCATCAAGGAGCTGGGGGAGAAGTATGGGATTGAGAATGAGCGCAAGGTTGCAACTTCCCTGCCAGCAGAATTCAAGCTTGTGAAGGCTGCAGAGGATGAAGGGGTTGAAGCTGAAGAGCAGCAGCAATTTCAGTCCTTGGTGGGCAGCCTCTTGTACGCAGCAGTTCACACGAGGCCCGACATCTCTTTCTCGGTTGGGCAGCTGGCTAGGGTGGTGCAGAATCCATCAGAGGAGCAGGTGGATGCAGCTGAGCGTGTGGTGAAGTACCTGAACTCTCACCCAAGCATTGGAGTTCAATACTCCGCATCTGCACAGGTGAAGCAGAAAGGGGTGGAGGTGCTGAAAGAGAAGGGGGAGAGGCTTGGAGAAGGCAAGCTATTTCTCACTTGCTTTACCGATGCTACGTGGGCTTCTGAGAAGGAGGATTCCTCATCTGTGGGAGGATACATCTGCGTAGTTGGGGGAGGACCTGTTAGTTGGAGGTCCAAGAAGCAGACGGAGACGGCACTCTCTTCCGTAGAATCAGAGTACATGGCGATGTTCCATGGGGTGAAGGAGGTGATTTGGCTGAGGAGGCTGTTAGAGGAGATTGGCCAGGAGCAGAAAGTTGCTACGCCGCTGTTTTGTGATAGCAAGGGGGCTCTTGGGATGGCCAGAAACGCTGTGCTTCATGGGCTGAACAAGCACATGCGTATCAAGTGGCACTGGCTGCGTAAGGAGGTGAAGAGGGGGACGGTGCATCCGATCTACATCAAGACTCACCAGCAGCCAGCAGACTTTCTCACCAAGAGGCTTGCGGATGAGCCTCATTGGCGTTGTGTGCGCATGAGTGGAATGAGCATGAACTAGCATGGAATGACGGGGATGCAGCCGGCAGGCTGAGGGGGAGTGTGTTGGGTGCAAATGCACATTGCACGACATCCTGCCGTCTGTTTGTACGAGTATGCGTGTGCGAATGCATTTGCGTGTGAATGGTGTGTTCGTGTGTTTGTTTGCTTTCGCATTTTTCGCTTGATGCATTTGCAGGTACTCGCGCAATGTGCGCTTTGGCACAACATTGTATGCGCTATGAACAGTGCAAGCAGGAAGGACGAGCTCGCAAAGGAACCCAAGATGGAAGCTTTGCAGTTCGGTTGAGTTGATTGCGCAGATTCAGTTCTATCCAACTCGGAATTGTACTGTTTTGTTTGGTTAACTATAGTGTAGCAGGGAAGGCACTATAGGGGTACAATTTAGGTGAAGGTTGGATGTTGTTTGTCTGTATCTGCATGCTACAAGGCCAGGGGAAACCAGCGGAACCAGCATTTGGCTGGTTGGGCAAAGACAAAACAGGTTCTGTTTTTAGAACCTGAACCTGGTTGTTGTTTTCCCAGGTTGGAAAAACAGAACCAGAGGTTGTTTACCAACCTACCACCTGCTATTTTGTCCAGCCAGGTTGGTTATGTTGCTTGGAATTATTTGGGATCATCCCTGGTTGTTCCCAGGTTGATTCCCAAGGTCCTTGCTAGCTAGAACTATTTAATCCTTCTCTGTTTGTACCTGAATATAGTCAAATTGATTCATGCGAATTCCTTCCTCGCTGGAATTTCGTTTCTATGCGGTTCGTTGGCGGAATGCTACCCGAGTCAACGCTAGTACGCTAGCACTCTAATGCTAGGCAAACACCGTCTGAGCCATAACTTCGTAATGGCAGAACTTTTCGCGAGGCAACTTGGCTCATTTTAAAGCTCTTGGAGCGAGCTTCGATATAGCGAATTTTCAGCTTAATCCGATCGACGGTCTGCACGGCACGCTGCGCGACGTTCAAGGTACTCTTGCTGTTTTGACTAAGTCCTTCTTGATTCCTCTCTCTACAAACTCGGACCCGAGGATAGGGGCTGGTCTTGTACCAGGCACCCAGGGACCCTTGGAGGTGACCCCGAGGAGAGGTTTTAAGTTTGATTAAGTCCTAATAGCTTGAGTTTATTAGGTCCTTACACCAACAAATTGGAGCCATCCAAAGCTTCGATCTTGGCTGGCGGCTCACTCCTCTTCTCAGCTGCTTCTCCACTCATCTCCTCTGCTCCCAATCAGAGGTTTCAGCTCCCCCTTTGCTGGTCACAATGTAGATCCACACAATCTTCACAAGTGTCGGCGCCAACGAATTTTCGGCAGAGTTTCCCCTTAGCAAAAGTCACTCCCAACCTCCAGAACTCCACTTAGGCACGCCCACAGGCCATGGTGGGTCTAGGAGGGTCTTCACACTTCAGTAGACTCCCCACAAAGTCCTTAATCAGCTCTGATACCACTTGTTAGAGACTAAGGACGGAGTCTAGAACGTTTAGGGGCCGAAATATCACAAAATCGTTGGTCTCAATTTCTGGACAGAAACCGCGACTTCACAAGAAACGTCGTCGACAAAAAACGCACCGTTAGAATTGTTTTTAACTCGAGTATGTTGTAGCTCTAGACCGTAGCTAAATTTCCCAGTTTGAATCGTGTCAACAGATGAAGTATAACTCGAGTTATGAATTTCGGCGCACTAGGGGGTAAGCTGCCATTGAAAGCTTAATTCAATAATAATTCTCTCTCAAGTTTCACAAAAGTTGCACACAAGAGAATTGGAGTAGCACTAAACCAGGTAGGAGGGGATGAGGAGGACGAGAGGGAAGGTCCCAAGGGAGTCCCCAACCAAGGAAAACCTTATGCCACACAAATCCCCTCTCCATAGGCAACCCCACTTTCACATTTGTCACTTTCCCAACTCATGCCATCCACCTCAACCCACTTGGCCACACTTGCCAACCTGGTTTGGCTTCTCCCAACCACATGGCAGCAATCTACAGTGATGGGTTCGAATTTCCCAACCCTCAAAAGTCTGTACCCCTTATGGAGCAAACCCCACAACTTCCCATAGTTGCCACAACCAAAGTACAGAAAGCATACGAACTCCAACGTTCGTAACTTTCTTGATATTGCTCCGATCGCGACGATTCTTGGTTCGTCGGGAAGCTCTTGAGCAGAGCAATCACTTCAGATATCTGCTCAAGCCAAATGACATTCACATACACTCAGAATATCCAAACCGTGCAAAACACAGATTCTTGCACACGCTCATACTACGCATGCAACACACGAACACATGATGGGAGGCAGACAGACGTGAATGCATATGGTTGCATCACACAACAAGCCGCTCCCCCGCAGGGGTCCCGTCTGAAGTCTATTTCTTATTTCTTGCAGTTCTTGATTCAATTTCCCATGTTTCACCCGCCAAGCTGCGAAAGCCATGGCGGAATTCACTAGCATCCACTTTCTTTTCAAGAAAAAGCCTAGACCCGCCTACCGAGTGGACGGTGACGACTGGTATACCCGTATCCCACCATCGCCCCCAGGGCCACCACAGCCTCCGGCGCCGCCTGCGCCGCCATCTCCTCCATGTCCTCATGCACCTCGAGCTCCACTTGCTCCTCCAAATCCACCCGTGTTTGCAGGCCCATCAAACCCTCCCGTGCTGACGCTCCTGCACCCGTCGGCATTCAACGAGTTCCTGTCTGAACCTGACAGCAACAAGCCCCCCAACGTCTACGTTCAAGCTCCGCCCCCGGCATCACGATGGGGCCAGTCGCAAGATTGCGCGTGAGATGAATCTGCTGTGGGCGCTGACGACGATGTGCCCGACATCGAGGCTGGCACTGAGGCTGGCACCGACACTGGCACCGACACTGGCGCCGAGGCCGACACCGCGGCAGACTTCTCGAAGATGACGGTGTGGAGTATTGGTCGCGCGGCAGACTTCTCGAGAAGCTTCCTATTCCTATTGTTCCTCCTGTTAACCGCGAGTGCCCCCACCCCTCCTATGAGAACCGTGATGTCTGCCCCCCCTCTCCCAGGCACAAGCCGTCGCAGCATAAGCATAACGCTTAAACCGTGCAGGAGAAGCTGCAGTCGATTGGGCGCAAGGATGTGGCAGTGTCGCTGCGGTCGCTGTCTCGCAAGTCCGGAATCCACCGCAAGTGTCTCGCGAAGTGGAAGAAAGCCTCCGCGATGCTCAAGGAAGCGCAATCAGCACGTAGGCGAATGCATGGGCGTGGGAGGTCATCGTGGTACAGGCCGATGGGGAAGGGGCGGGGAGCTGCGAGCTAAGTGTGACGGGCTAGGCGCGGGCCTGGGCGACGGGCTAGGCGCGGGCCTGGGCGACGGGCTAGGCGCGGGCCTGGGCGATGGGCTTGGCGCGGGCCTGGGCGACGGGCGAGGCGCGGAGGTCCGCGACGATGCGGGCTAGGGGCGCGGAGGGCGCTGTCGCGCGGAGGAGGAGAGCGCGGAGGGCGCGGAGGGCGCGTTTGAGAGGGCCCGAAGGGCGCGATTCGGAGGGCGCTACGCGTGCGACGAGAGGCTAGAGCGTGGAGGGCGCTAAAGGGCGAGTTAGACTAGGATACGCTACCTACTCGTGATACCATCTTAAGTTAGAGAGAGAGATGTGCAACGGAATGATGAGACTAGTGTCGAGAAAGAGATACAAAGCAACCCTAAAACATTTGTTCTCCCTAGTATGCTACTCACCGTAGCCTAAGAACGTATAATAATATTTGACAAGGTGGGCCTCATATTGGTTGTTGGGTACCCTGAGCATTCAGTGTCCCTAGGAGTATAACACTGATTTTCAATGTCTGTTTAAAAACACTGCTTTTTCAGGGTTTGGAAAAACAAAACGCTGAACAATCAGGGTGTTAACACCCTGATGAGAATCATAATTCATAAGCGAGTGGCAAAACCACTCCTAGCCAAGACGCAAGGTGGCACTGGAGCACAGAGGGTACCGTAAGTGACTGCAGATGGTGAAAGCATAGGCGCCGAACTTGGCGAACAGGGCTCTTGCTAGGATTTGGGCCTGTCTGACATACCTAAGTAAAAAAACCGTTCCGTCTGACGTTCAGACGGGCATATTTTTTTGGTCTGATTTTTTGGACGAATGTTGAAGCTTAGTCTGATTCTTCATACAATTTAATTTGCACAGTCTGATTTAGCTAACACACTTGTCTAAGATAATCACACTTGTTTTGTTAATGAACGCGCCCCTGGCTCGGTGCTGACAGCTCGCTAGCTGACAGCCGTGTGGCTGTTGAGGGGCACGCACGTGACAATGAGGGGCTACGACGCGAGGGATCAGGGCGGGTGGAGGTGGAGGGACGCGAAGGAAAGGGGGGGCTGGGCTGCGAGACATTACGAGGGGCATGGAAGCGGGCTAGGCTGGGAGTGAGACCAAGACACCTCAGGTTTGGGGGGGGGGGGAGAAGGGTTGGACAGGACTAGGCCTGGAAGGGGAGCGAGAGCATAGAAGGGGGGGCTGAGCTGGTAGAGTAGCGAGAGGTCGGGGGGGAAAGGGGGGGTTGGGATGAGGGGGATCGGTATCTGACGAAAAACAACTCGTTATCTGAAATTTCAGACTAGGTATTATGCTTTCTCTGAAATATCAGATGAACTAAAATCAGTCATCTTACGGATCAGACGAAATAAAAAGCATCGTCTTGGGGATCAGATGAAAGCAAAAATCTAGGTCTGAAAATCAGACCATCAGACCAATTTGGTATGATAACGAGAGCCCTGCTGGCGAATCTGCGTGATTCACGAAATCTACAGTATCAGGACCGAACGCGATACAAAGGTAATTCATAAGTGCCTGAAAATTCGTCAGTGATGAACGCGATTCATCAGTGCCTGAAAATTCAAAACACAAAAAATCAGAGTTTAAAAATAGAAAACACTGAAACATCAAGGTCGTCAAAATAAAAAGGCTGATGCATCAGGGTCGTGATAAAAAAAGAGGGTTAAACTTCAGGAATTCAGGGTAAAACTCTTTACTTCTGAGGCCCTGGTTATGAGTGCAATCGAGCGAGTGAGCGAGAATTGCTCTATCGAAGCAAAACAATGGTACAGCGAGCAAAGGAAATGCCTGAAGATTACCGTATTCCCCCGAATAGTAGCGCATATGCGCTTATAATAAAATCGATTGTTTCAGGGGGGCGCTTGTAATTGAGGAAAGGGCATAAGCGCCTGCGCTTATAAAGTGGAAAAAAAAAATGAATTTTGCTTCTTACGGCGAAGCTCTCATTAAGGCGAATACGACCATCAAACGTTCACGTCGGTTTCGTGCATGACATGCAAGCAATAACAGCAGCGACTCGGTTTCCCACCGCACAAATCCTGTCTCGGAGCAACGCATCTACCAACGCTGACAGGGAAGCTGCTGCGCGGCCCAATCCCGTTGTCATGCGATGCCGGGTAGGGACAACTCATCCGATCCCTCTAGAAGCGGATTGAAATTGCCCTGCCACCGCAGCATGTGTGCCGCCCATTTCCCTCCTCTCCGGGTTCAGGCTGTGGGGGCACCAGTCTATCATCAACGAGGACGGCGAGCCGCTCCCCCGCAGGGGTCCCGTTTGAAGTTTATTTCTTATTTCTTGCAGTTCTTGATTCAATTTCCCATGTTTCACCCGCCAGGCTGCGAAAGCCATGGCGGAATTCACTAGCATCCACTTTCTTTTCAAGAAAAAGCCTAGACCTGCCTACTGAGTGGACGGTGACGGCTGGTATACCCGTATCCCACCATCGCCCCCAGGGCCACCACAGCCTCCGGCGCCGCCTGCGCCGCCATCTCCTCCATGTCCTCCTGCATCTCGAGCTCCACTTCCTCCTCCAAATCCACCCGTGTTTGCAGGCCCATCAAAACCTCCCGTGCTGACGCTCCTGCACCCGTCGGCATTCGACGAGTACCTGTCTGAACCTGACAGCAACAAGCCCCCCGACGTCTACGTTCAAGCTCCGCCCCCGGCACCACGATGGGGCCAGTTGCAAGATTGCGCGTGGGACGAATATGCTGTGGGCGCTGACGACGATGTGCCCGACACCGAGGCTGGCACTGAGGCTGGCACCGACACTGGCGCCGAGGCCGACACCGCGGCAGATGTGTTTCCCGAAGATGACGGTGTGGAGTATTGGTCGCGCGGCAGACTTCCTGAGAAGCTTCCTATTCCTATTGTTCCTCCTGTTAACCGCGAGTGCCCCCACCCCTCTTATGAGAACCGTGATGTCTGCCCCCCCTTCTCCCAGGCACAAGCCGTCGCAGCATAAGCATAACGCTTAAACCGTGCAGGAGAAGCTGCAGTGGATTGGGCGCAAGGATGTGGCAGTGTCGCTGCGGTCGCTGTCTCGCGAGTCCGAAATCCACTGCAAGTGTCTCGCGAAGTGGAAGAAAGCCTCCGCGATGCTCAAGGAAGCGCAATCAGCACGTAAGCGAATGCATGGGCGCGGGAGGTCATCGTGGTATAGGCCGATAGAGCTGAAAGTCTACGCAAAGCTTCTCGAGTGGCGCCGCAAAGGCTCTGCCGTCTCCGTCGGTCGCCTGCAGGAGTGGACAAGAGAGTTCATGAAGCTTCTATTCTCCAACGTAAAGTGGAAGGGCAGCCAGTGGTGGTTGGAGTGGTCCCGAAAGTGGTGGAATCTGAGCGTGCGCATGAAGACGAGGATTGCCAAGAAAACCGCCGAATGTAAGGTTTTTTTTTTTTTTTTTTTTTTTTGGTACCGTGTGCTTGTTGTGATTTTCAATCAATGGTACTGACTAACCGCTGCCTCTTAACACTGTCCGTGTGCGCGAAGGTGTTGCGGAGCTGTGTCAGGCTTTCTGGCAATTTGTTTGTGACATGCGGCGTGATCGCGGCATCAAAACCCGCTGGATTATCAACACTGACCAGACGCCGCTGTGGCTGGAGATGCCCGCCACGACTACTGTGGACGAGACGGGCGTTCGCTCAGTGGCCATCAGGAGCGGGGGGTATCAGAAAAAATGCGTGACCGTGATGCTGGCGTGCACGGCCGACGGCGACAAGCTCAAGCCGTGGGTCATTTTCAAGTGCAAGACGGTGCCGAAGGGTGATTTCCCGCCCGGTAAGATAACACGGTGATATTCTATGATTGTTCTTTACTGTCGTGATACTAACGCATGTTTGTTTACTGTGCGCGATATCGCAGATGTGGTCGTGGCGGTGCACCTGAACGGCTGGATGGACGCCGACGGCATGCGCTGGCTCGAGGAGTGCGTGAAGCCCTTCATCCGGCCCCGGTTTGGCAGGCAAGCGAGGAGCGCCATGGTCGCCGGGGCCACCTCACGGATGCCGTGAAGGAGAAGTTTGCCGACTTGGACATCGTGCCGGCTGTGATCCTCTCGGGCTGTACGGCGGAGGTGCAGCCGCTGGACGACTCGATTAACAAGTCCTATAAAGCCTCCATCTGCCAACAGTATCAAACGTGGTTTGAGGAGGAGGACCACGATCGGCTGACGGCTGCAGGTAAGACACCCAACGTTGATTGTTCGACAGTGGCTTGATTTCGGCCCGAATGTTGTTCTAACTCTCATGCTCTGACATGTGGTGCTCGGAACATCAAGAAGCCGCCCCCTGCGGTGGTGCTCAGGTGGATCTCAAGGGCCTGGAAGGTCATGCCAGCGGATCATATCAAGAAGGCGTTCCTCACATGTGGCATCAGCAACGCCCTTGACGGCAATGAGGACAACCTTGCCATGGCGCACAGGCGGAGCCAGCTGACCCACGAGGTCGACGTCGATGACGAGATCATCGCCAATGGATTCTTTGGCAACAACTGCAAGGAGCCAGAGTCGGACGACGGGTAGATTCTAGCTAGAAATGTAAACCTTCATGATGTGTATTGAGAATGTTGGCAGGGAGACATGTGTGAAATTCATGTTAGTGTAGGAAAAAATGTTTAGATTAAAAATTAGTGAAAAGATTACCCCCCTGGGGGGGAGGGATGCACTTACAATAAGTACAAGGTTTCTAGGGGGTGTGGCCATAAGCGCATGGCTCCAGATAGAAGCGCCGGCGCTTTCAATCAGGCGGCGCTACTATTTGAGGCGATACGGTATTAGTGTAAGGAATTTTCCCGAATTCCTTGTCAGGGTTGACTGCTTCGCGAACAGCCCCGATTTTCAAACTCTGCAAGTTCGGCCGACATCAACGATGCCGAGGCTCCTCTCGTCGCCTTCAGCTTTTTCCTTCGCCAAACCTGCACCCAGCCTCGCTCCCCCGAGGTTCCCTCATAGCTAGACTAGCCCCTACATTAGTGTGTGCCTTCATTGTATTCTCAATTCGTTCAATCACAGTCTCGTTATTCTTGCGCACTTTCTTTTACAACTCTTAACACCTGGTATGAGAGCTACTTTCCTAGTTCACCCTGCTTTTTGAGGGTAGTTTGGTGGCACAGATGTGGCTGGTATAGTGGACTACATGACGGAGGCTGCAAGGTTTGTTAATTCAATCCTGCACGACTCCGATAGTTCGTGTTTTCTATTCGTCTGAAGGCCACGGAGACCCGCTTGCCCACCAGACGTAGCGCTAGGTACATGGATCAGGAGGCGGTTAACAAGCTGATGGCGCAAGTGGCAGATATGCAGGAGGGCATGAAATTGTTAATGGCGGAAGTGACAACTTTATGAGAGGAAAACGCCGAGCTATGCCAGGCGCGAGGTGAAGTGTGTCAGGTGTCACCCGACGAGGAAGACGAGGTCAACAGTCACGCGGTGAGCAATCTGTTGGACGCGCTCAGACGTGACTTTGAAGA